CTGTCTCAGGAGGTACCACTCCTAATACTCTAATCTCCGTGAGAGTGCTGTCTCAGGAGGTACCAGTCCTAATACCCTACTTTGTTTCCCATTGTATAGTTTTCAGCATAAAGGTTGTGTATGTTGTCTCATTTGAACTTCATAATTGAGCAGGACGGGAATTAGTTTACAGATGAGGTTCCTGGCATCTTGGTTTGGCACTTAGTGGTAAAGATAAGACTTAAGGGAGCCCAGGGCTTTGGACCTAGTTCACTGAGCCTCAGAGCCCTTGGACTCAGGCCATGTTAAGAGATGGATTTAGTGATAATGTGAATATAAAAGGCAGCATAGGGAAAAGTACAGTTTCTTTCTAACACTTTCAGAAGCACTGTGAATTTACATCACACTTTTTCCAGAAGGGTTTGCGAAGGTTATGGTACATAGCTGTACTTGAATTTATGATCTTGAATTAAAATCAATGGTTTCTTAGCATTGTCATTTAAAAATACAGTATTAGTGTTCTGAATCATCTTTTTATCATTTTGAGAAGTTTTTACAGTCTGATTCAATACCAGCTATATTCTGTTGTCATTGTAATTGTTTTCTCCTCAAATAGTACTAAATTGCTTATCATTGTCTAGTGATTATGAATTGCATTGCCGTGCTGCTTCACACAGAGTTATTATTTTCTATTACTGTTCTGATGAATATTTTCATTGCCAACTCCAAATTCTACTGGATTTTTATCTTCCTCTTCTGTCTTCTTTAAAATACTACTCCTTTGGGTACAGTTTATTAGGAACTACTAACCAGTCTTCAAATGGGCTATAATAATAATTATTGATGTTCTTCTAAATAAAACATGCTTTTTAAATTATAAATAATCTAGCAGTACTGCTGGGTAATTCATTAATAAGTATTAACAGCATCAAGATTTTAATTTTTCTCACCCTCCGTATTATTACTTATTCAAATCAAAATTAACTACCTGTGAAACACTAGTTCTGACTTTCTGACTGGACACTTAACTAATCCAGACTGGGCCTGCCTTAATACATGAGGTACATTAAGTTAACCAGCACTGGTGTTCACACATAAGACAGAAGTTTGCTGAATACCCCAATACTGCACTGCTAGTGAATGGCAGGGCTGATGTGCCCAGAATCTTCCTGTGCTAGTAGCTTCAAAAGGCCTAGAACAGACATTTATTGAGCATTTCCTGCATCTCGTTACCT